GAAAGATCAAAGAGCCTTATTATTCCTGGGACTATCGAACTACTTCCTATGGTACGGTTTTCATGTTCTCTGGATACTACTGTTCTAGTCTATCTTTGTAAAATTATGACAGAATCTAATTCTTTTTATTAACAATCTGTACATATCTTTCACTGCCAAGTTTAATTATATTATCATGAAAAACCACTAATCCTTCTGATTTTGAGTTTACTTAAAAATAAACCATCTCCTTCTGTCCTCCTAAACACTTCTCTAAATAAAAACAGCATAACATTTTTCTTAAGCCAGATAAAACAATGAATACCAAAACTTTAAAATCAGAAACAGTAATTTCAAAAGGCTCATTCTGAAAATGTTGTGAACTTACAATGACATAAAGAATTTACTTTTAAACATTGAACCACTCTATAATAAAAAGGTTAATGTACTTACTTTAAATGTTGGTGAGAGATAATTTTTTAGAAACCAGAATTTCACAGGTGTTTTGGTGTTACGTAAAACAGAAAGCATCATAATTCTGTATAGAGGAACATTTAACCCAGTAAGTTAATATTAATAGGAGTTCACCCTGCTTTTCCTAAGGCTTTTTAATTATTATATATATATATATATATATGCAATAATTATTTAAAGGCATTAATTTTTCACTATGAATTATGGGGAAATAGACTGAAGCACCTTCACAAATTATGGTTACTTATCAAGTATGTAATGTGTAAGGAGGTGTATGTATGTATGTGTGTATATATATATATACACACACACACACACACACACACACACACACATGCACACACACTATACAGAATAAATTCATTGCTTTTTGTTTGTTCCACTTGACTCTGAAATACTCTTGTTTAGTTGATTACATTCTAATCTCTACTCTATTACTTTGTCATTAACATCAAATATACAGAAATGGAAGAACTGAATGATCTATACTAGTAAATTCATGGGATAGGTCCCTTGTTTTGCTACGCTAGACCTCTGACTGGAAAAGAGACAGATGTATCTAAAATACCACCTATAGACATATACTTGAATATCACATCTTCAAATATTTTTGAGGAATTCTCTGATATCCTTCTATATGAAAAGTTAAAAACAACAGCCCTAAGGTTTGGAATTTAGTTCTCTTCTTATTCCCCCTCCTCCTTCTTATAAAATAAAAGGGAAATTTACTGTATATATTTTTTCTCACATATTATTTTGTCATAAAATATGTTCATTTCCTAGCCTTAAAGAACACTGGTATTCCAAATCAATTAAACTCATGAAATTCGACTACATTTTAAAGATATACTTCTCTCATAATCTTAGGTTAAAAAAAAGAAAAAAGCAAGGTGCAGAACAACATATACTTGGTTACTACTTAAGTAAAAACAAGTTAAAAAATGAAGAAGATATATATGCTTATCTATATACATCCTTGGCAAGTTACAAAAATAATACTGGTTTCCTGTTGGAAGGAAACTGGGTAATAAGGAAACAGGTGGGATTCTTTTCACTGTACACTTTTATTCTTCTGAACTTTTGAAATTCTTTTTGAACCACTTTTCAAAGCATTTGATAAAAAACATACCTACCTTAAAAAGCGTTCATATAAATGGCCAGAAGCAACTGAAAAAATGTTTAGAATGTCTGCTTCATCTTTTTCTTTATACAAACTTCTTGTGAAACTTGGAATAAAAAAGTAGTGATTGACAAGTTCTTAATCTGCATTTGCACACTTTACAAACCTACATAATTTAATATGCATACTAAATTTAATACGCAATAGGAAAGCCTCTCAAAATAAGCTCCATCTCATACACAAAATTACTGAATCTTTTTATTTGGAGTATTCATAATTATAATTTCTGTTTTCTTCAGGTGTAAAAATTTATTTAATTAAAATTTTCATTTTTATAGGCACAGATATTTAGAACGACTAAAATTTGGAAAAAAATAACTTACAATCACCACAGATGTATTTTGCCAAATAGGAACTGTTATGAAAGAGTATTTTTCAAATCTTATTATAATCTCTCAAATAAGAAAAATACAGTTGATACTCCAAGTTAGGATTAAAATTCGGATAAAAAAGTGACAGCATTATAACATACACAATACTTCTGTAAGCTGAAGGAGCTTCCCTCCTGAACATGTCTTTTCTCCCTTCCTACACAGCAGTATTTGTTTTTGGTACCCTTTCCGTACAGCAAGTGGCCATGCTGTTGTTTAACAATTACCTATATTCATTCTTGTCTCCACTTTCTGGTTTTAATGGAAGATTATGGAGAGATACTCTTTAAAATGCTCCCATTCTGCTTCATTATCCCCTGTCAAATATACCTACTCTCCAGATGATCTCAAAATGAGGGGGTCTGAGACCTTCTCAGTCAGTAATAGTTCAATGCACATAAAGGGACAAGAACACCATTCTTATCAAACAAGGCACCAACTACAGAAAAAGAGGCCTAAACTGGGCAAGATCCCAATGATAGGAGTGCCCCTGATTGGCGTAACACAATCCACTTAGGTTGCTGAATCTGGCTGGCTCAAAGTGTCTACAGAAATAGACAACTGATAGAAATTATCTCTGGGAGACAATAATCTCTCAGTGGTTCTCTCTCATAAATCAAATGAAGCTCAGATTTCTAAAACTGGCTTTCAAAGTTCTCTACAATGTGGATCTACAGCAGACGCTTTTGTTTTTGCCCATCTAATGTCCTTTACGTTTCTAGTAACAATCGCCTGGTATTTTTCTGGGGGAAGCATTCCTCCTCCAGTTGCATTCTGTGAGTCTACGATAGGCCTGCCCACTCGTTCTAGAGGTGGGCATGCGACCCAAGTGTGGTTAGAGTCACAGGAACCAGTTCAGTTTGGGACAAATGGCTAACAACTGGACTCATGAGTCAGCCCTGGAACTTTTGCTGGCACTATATGGAAAGATGGCAAACTTTTCCTTGTAAAAGTTTCTCTGAAAATGAGGGAGGCATAGAGAATAGAACTAAGACATGGAAAAAGAGTTCCTAGGTCACGTCACCCGAATGCCCAAAGCCAGCTCTACTCCTGGACTCTCTACATGTGAGCCAATATATTCCTGTTTTGATTAATATTTATTAATATTATTAACATCGATTCCTGTTTGATTAGGCCTTGACCTAATTTATAGATTCCCTATTATATTCAATGCCCCAGTGTTCTAGCTAAGCTGGGCTATTTTCTGTTTAATCTCTTTGACTTCATATAACCAGGTACCTTCTCTCTATCTCCAACTTCTGAAGTCTTGTCCATCTTTTAGAGCACATCTTAGCCAAGAAGTATTTCCTGAGGTTCCTCCTAACTAGATAAAGTCTTCTTCTCCTGTGGTTCGCAGGGCACTTGATTTTCAGCTGTCTTATAGCTCGTTTCCTATCCCGTTTTATCAACACTTGTGTATTGATCTCACCCCACATGAAGAGTGGATCTGCTTTACTTAGATGTTTACCATCTGCAGGCCTTCCACATACTAGACTCCTGATGGATCTATCATTATATGTTAAAATATTCACTGGTAATTACCTTTTAATAGAATCCCACATTCCTTTTTTCTTCTCATCTTTATCGGTTAGGAGATCTTCCTTAATTTTGTCTGGCTTTTTTTGCACCTAGATAGCACGGTAAAGAAAAATCTTAGAATTGTGCAGCTTTAAGTATTATGCAACGTGCTTAGAAAGTTCGAAAGTGCAAGGTGACCCCTGTAAATCTAAGACAGTTGCAGTGACGGAGCCAGGGAAGATCTTAGTACATTACAGACACAATCTGGTTTCAATTATCAGTTCAATCTCATTGTTAGCTCTTTTGGTGGTTACCTCCATTCTGTTAAATAATGTGCTTATACTTGTATTTACTGATTTTTCAACTTCAGGCTTTATCTACCAGCATATCTGCAACCACAGGGTTTAGGTATTTTTCATTCTTTGGGACGACAGACAAGCAGCTCCCTTCTATTGGTCTGCCTCTCTTTGTCTGGAAGTTTTGGGAGTAGTATCATTACCATTAGCTCTTCTACTGAGTATCTTTGTAGCTTCAAATAATACTTAAATGTCTATTTTTTGTTCCAACAATCTCAGGTTTCTCTCGCATGTAAGATAAGAATACTAATGGTATTTCTACCTTTTCCCTCCGCCTCCCACCTTACATTAGCTGAACTTTTACTTTAGCATCGTATAAGGATAGGTACTACCTACATTTACGCTGGTAAACGTAATCATATCTACTGCATTTTGCTACGTTTATTTTACAACTTGAAGATCAGCAAATAGTGCTTATTGTGAAGATGTAATTATTATTCACTGCAGAGTCTGCAAGGCCACTGAAGCTGTATTTCCTCGGTGCAGTTATAGTAACCTGACCATCGTGCCACTCATGGGAGACTCTGGATATTTCAAATGGATTCTGTTTTCTTACATCCCACCAACACATAAACATTTTTTCTTGGAATTTTATCGCATTTATTTCTCCTTGTAGTGAGATCTATTTCTTCCTTACCACATACCTAATATTTCCCAGTTTATTATTCATGTTCATTGCCTGGAATTCCTGTTTTCTTGGAAATGTTTTTCCCAGAGCTCAGTAATTAACTGCCTATTTCGTTCAAGGATTTCTTTGCATTGTTTTTCAGATTAATTTCACCATTTCTTGATGTACCTATCTTCCTCTTTCTTGGTCTTCATCTTCATTGGACTGGCAAACATCTTCAAGGGGTGTGAAAAATTTTTCTAAACCTTCACTCTTCAGAAAATAACTTTGTCTTTAAGAATTTGGTTAAAGAATCCTAGCTTCAAAATAATTTTCCTCAAAATACTAAAGGCTTTGTTTTGCTGTCTGGTAACATTCATTTTGAAAATGAAAAGTCTGACGCTAGGGTTAGTGTCATTCTATGACTCTGACCTGCCTTTTCTCCCTGATAGTTATTAGGGTCTCATGTGGGCCATCTTTCACTCACGGTAATTTATGGACCCTTATGAACATTATTCCCTCTCCTTCTCTGTGAAATACCCTCCCTTTTTTTTTTTTTTTAAGATTTTTAAGGAATCTCTACATCCAACATGGAGCTGAAACTTACAACCCCTAGATCAGGAGTTGCGTGCTCCACGGAGCAAGCGAGCCAGTGGATCGTCCCCCTCCTCCATTGTCTATTCTTTCTCTATGGAATTCCTATTCATGGGCTGTGGAATTCATGGGCTGATCCTTAACATTGTTTATCTTTTCTGCTGTCCCTTTTCTGTCTTTTGATATTATTCTGAGATGGATGGTGAGGAGATAAAACGGTGTTATTAAAAAAACAACAGAAGGACCGAGGTGGGTGGTCTGATTCAGGTAGGGCATGATTATTACCTCAAAGATTTGATGGCTATGGTGAAAGAGTTCAACCTGCTCTGTACTATAGACCAAGAAGTCAAATTAGAACCGATAGGCAGAGTGCAAAAATTCAGCTCAAGAAAACCTAAGCGGCTTTTCAATGGTCAAAAATAGCTCAAAGATGGAACTGTCCTCTCGTCCCCCAGCCTGGTAGAAATGGTCTTTCTTTCTTGTTTGCAGGGCTAGCATAAAACTTCCTGGAATGCTGGTCCTATAGGGCTTGGTTGAGTTAGTATCTTAAGTAGCTGGTCTGGGTTTTGTGGGGTTTTTCTTCTGAAATGACCAGAAAGAAATGTATTAAAGAAGAGACTGTGTTACTATTGAGAAAGAAAATCAAGGTCAATACAGGAGGAAGAGAATCAAAGATGAATGTGAGCAACATGTATAACTGATCACAGGATAAAAAGCAGAGGTGATAAGGAATAGGTTATGATATGGGATGCAAGGTAAAATTTGGTGATACAGTAGTTTAGAATCTAGGCAATATGTAAGGTGTGAGGTTTGGTAGCCTGCTGTTATTGGATCTTAGAAATTACAACCACATTGTATTTTCTAGTTATCTTTGGAAATTAATTTCTGCTCTACTGCACTGTAGATGGAGGATACACCCTGTACAATTTCCTTCTTCTGAAATTTGTTGAAACTTGCTTTTCAACTAAATGCAAAGTTAATTTTTATAACATTTTATGTGTATTTGAAGGATTATTCACTTGGTGTTACTGGGTGTTGTGTTCTATATGTGTTTAGGTCAAAATTTATAATCTGTTCAAATCTCTATCTCTTGATATTTTGGTCAGTTTATTGTATCAGGTACTGAGAGATGGGCATTAAAAATAATCCCAGCATGATAGAGAACTGTAAATTTCTCTAATTCTATTCCTGCCTTATATATGTAAAATGACTTTATCTTAGTAAGGTTATTTGTCTTGTTGTCCTATATCTCTGGTATTAGTAGAGCTATGCCAATTTTCTTTAGCTTAGTATTGGCCTAGAATACTTTTGCCACTCTTGTATTTTATTTTCATCTTCATCCTAAAGTTGTATTCTTAGGTATGAGGTGTACTTTCCACAAACGACATGTAGTTGTAATTTTAAAAAATCCAATATCACAACCTTTGTCTTTTAATTAAAACATTTAGTCTATTTACATTTAATGTAATTGGGTTAAATTCTAACTTATTATTTTGTGCCTCCTCCATATCCCATATATTCTGCTTTATTTATTCTCCTTTCTTAGTCTGTTTATATTATTTCATTCCATTTTTCCTTTTTATTATGACATTATGCCTTGTTTCTATTCTTTTAGTGGTTATCTTAGAAATTAAACTCATATTTGCCTGAAAGTCTAAAAGTAATCATTACCCTTGCTCTGATCAATATAAGAATTTTACATGTTATTGAAAACAACCCTATTTATCTTATGGCTTAAATGCGATTGTTATTTTTAAATTCTGTATATTTAAAAAAATCCTTCTAAGACATTACTTTTGTTTTATATATTCACTGTTCATAGAATTATCCACATAATTTACCATTTTCTTCTCTCTTTAATCTTTTAAAACTCAAATGTCCCACTAGAGGTATTTTTTTTTTTTCTGCCTGAAGTACCTCTTTTATTTTATTTATTTATTTAAAAAAAATTTTTTTTTCAACGTTTATTTATTTTTGGGACAGAGAGAGACAGAGCATGAGCTGGGGAGGGGCAGAGAGAGAGGGAGACACAGAATCGGAAACAGGCTCTGAGCCATCAGCCCAGAGCCCGACGCGGGGCTCGAACTCACGGACCGCGAGATCGTGACCTGGCTGAAGTCCGACGCTTAACCGACTGCGCCACCCAGGTGCCCCCGAAGTACCTCTTTTAGAACTTTCTTTAGTGTGAGAGTGCTGGTGGCAAATTCAGTTTTTTCCATTTGTCCGAAAATACCTTGTTTTATGTTTCCTCTTGAAAGATATATTTTTAGGGTAAATTATTCTAGCTTGGCATTCTTTTTTTCACTGAGTGCTTTTAAATACCATTCCAGTATCTTTTGGCTTTCATTTTTACTGCTGAGAAATCAACGGTCAGACTATCTATAGCTCTTTGAAGGTAATTTTTCCTTTTTCCTCTGGTTTCTCTCAAGATTTCTCTTTGTTTTCTGCAGTTTTATCATAGGTGTGAATTGTCTTGCTAGGTAATCACTGGACTTTCTGAATATGCAAATTGGTAACAGCCATCAGTTCATGAAAATTCTCAGCCATTAATGCTTCAAATATTATACTTTTTTCCTTTTTTAATGTGAGTATAGTTGACACACAATGTTACACTTACCTTATTCTTTCATCATTGTCTGGAACTCCATTTAAAATGATGTTAATTATTCAATACTCATAAAGCACTTTACAAACCGAACTATCTTATCCTTATAACAAACACGTAAGGTATTATTACCCCCAATTTATAGATGAGGAAAATGAAACAAAGAGGCTAAGCAATCTGTCCAAGGTCACACAGCTAGTGAATGGCAGAGTCAGGTTCACCGCAATCCTGGTCTCTCAAATTTCTCACTCTATTCTCTATGTCTTTTATGCTCTCTGCTGTACTATACTCTTTTTAAATGTCTCTGTTACATTTGGAATATTTTCTGGCCTTTCAGCTCACTAATTCTCTCTTTAGACATGTAAAAGTTATCCACCGAATTCTTAATTTTGGTTATTGTATCAGTTTTAAAAGTTCTACTTAAAAAAAAATCAGATACACACTTTTTAATAGTTTTTTGGTCCCTGCAACTGTTTTCAAGTTTGTCTTTCATTTCTTTAAACTCTGTAAGCACAGTTGTTTCAGAGTCTGTGTCAATAATTCTAATACAGGAAGTGTTTATGTGCCTGGTTTCTGTGTTTGTTTCTGTTGGTTTTCTCTATGCATTTGGAGATAGTAATCTTATTCTAGGGATATATACGTGTTTCTTCCAAATGTCTGTACAACCTCATTAATCTGGAACTAGTTTAGTGCAAATCCAAGGCTCAGGGTTCCCTGGACCACTTGCATGATACAAATTTGGGTTAAAAGACTGTGTGGAATAATTTACTAGGGTTCATCCTTACCCTGAAGCTATAGCCAGCTTATTGTAGAGAGGGTCTTCTAACAGATTACCCACTTTATATGGGTCCAGGATTTTACTTTCTGTCCCCATCACCCTGCAAATTAAATCAAAATGATAGTTCAGGTGTACCAGGATGGACAGCTGTTCTCAGGACAAGAGAAGCTTCTGTGCTTACTTCACTAGGCTCCTATTTTCCCTATAATTTTGGTTTTGTATTTCCTTGTTTTTCTTATTATTTTGGTACTGTCAGCTCCTCATTGCTTTTAAGATGTTTCAAAAACACTTATCCGACATCTTTACTAGTTTTAAGTAGGTAAATTGGTCCAAAGAAATAAATTTGCCATCATTAAAAACTATTTTTCTATCTTTTTTTTTGTAAATGAAAGAAACATCACTTTTTCTTTCAGGGCTAACTTTTCAATCTGTGCTCTTGATCTCAACTCTAGAGCCTAATTTGTAACACTATCTGGCTATGGATACAACAGATATGACAGACCCATCCTAACTTAAAAAAGTCTTTCCTTCTCTTCTACCTTCAAGCTCTCTGCCTTTCTTTCATGAACTTAACTCTTTTCTTCCTTTCATGCCACAGTTCCAGTATGACATTTTAGGTAGTAAAATTATAAAATGAGTTTGAAAATAATCAATTAAGGACAAAAAAGAGAATTCTTAGTCTAAGAACAAAACCCATGAAGAGCTTCTGCCCCACACACTTGCACTTCCAGTATTTTGCTCTTGAAGCTGTTTATCACAACAATGACATCTCCCAGGTCTGGTTGCGAGTCAGTTCCTTCATGCCTAAAAGCAGAAAAACCTGTAAATGTCTATCATCAACTCAAGAAGAGACATGTAATTATGATGGTATAAATAACAGAATAAATTCATTTTGCAATAAACACAAGTATAACATCACTGTGTATATGTATATTTGCTGTTTCTATAGTCAATTAAGATATGCTATAATACACAATTTTCAAAATTATCCAATTTTAACTTGACACAAATTAAAACTGTCCAAAAGTAACTCACTAAATTCCATATTGCCTAATCACTGAGCAAGCTCAAATTATTGCTGATCTTTGCCATAGTATACCAAGATTACCGCTAAAGTCAAATCTTTCAGGTGTTTTTGGTATATTGCAATGATAATTAAAATATGAAGTGTTTTTGAGACTTTAAAATAAGTTGTTATATATCATAATCGAAGGAATTCTACACCAACAACTTTTCAATATCCACCAGCTATTTTCTTTTTTTTTTTTTTAATTTTTTTTTTCAACATTTATTTATTTTTGGGACAGAGAGAGACAGAGCATGAACGGGGGAGGGGCAGAGAGACAGGGAGACACAGAATCGGAAACAGGCTCCAGGCTCTGAGCCATCAGCCCAGAGCCTGACGCGGGGCTCGAACTCACGGACCGCAAGATCGTGACCTGGCTGAAGTTGGACGCTTAACCGACTGCGCCACCCAGGCGCCCCTCCACCAGCTATTTTCAAATAGCAAAATTTGAAGTATTAAACCCATAAAACTGAAGATGTCTATTATGCTCACCTGCATGACCTGAATGTGTTTTATATTATAATGTATTTCATTGTCCAATTTTTGACATTGCATGAACAAATCAAGTATGATAGCTATGACCAGTAATTTTTTTGGTATCATTCTATGTACAGAAAAATGCTGTTAAAAACATTTACAATAAAGCAACAAAGCTGAATTTCATCAATGAGGGAAGGCAACCAGATGTCAAATTAGTAGATACTTTGAGTTAAGTCAGATTTAGAACACACACCTGAACATTTTCCTGAAATGGAAATCTGAATGGTTACAGGAATATGTTGACACATGCCTCTGACTCCCTTTTTCTCCCAATTCTCCAGCTGAGGTGGCTAAACCCAAGTAGAAGGCACAGCCATCCCCGACAGTTACCACCAGGAAAAAGAAAGGGTTCCAATTTTTGTGCTAGTAATGTCAAATTTCTTAGAATTTTCAAGAGTTTCCAGTCATAAATGTTGCTCATGGACACCAGCAACTTTAGCCACTGGACCCACTGTCCATCAAGAGCAGGTAGAGCCAGGTCGCACACACTGCAGCTAGACCCACACGAGATCTAAAGCAAACTCCCTCCATCCGACCAGATAGCAGAGGTAGTAGCGAGGAAGACTCTTACCCTATTTCAGGTATTATCGCAAGCACTTTAGAGATGTTAACTCATTTGATCCATACACTCATCCTTTGAGGAGGGTACAACGATTATCCTAGACCCAAAAAGCCCAGGTAGTTGGGATGTTCACCACTGCACTATTCGATCTTTAAGTAATGCTAGGCAACTAAAAGTCACTGGATACACAAGGACAGTCAGCAGCTTCAATGAAAGGAACAAGCTAAGCAAGCAGTCAGAGGACATGGACTTCACTGGGAAAGAATTAATGCAGGGAAAAAGGGGAGCATTCAAATAATTTACATTCTCAATGAGATTTGGAAGAACACAGTATCTCAGTAAAAGCCATTTGCTGCAAAATGAAAGGATTCACTACATGTCAAGAAGCATAATTTTTTTTTTTTAAAAAATGGACACATACTTATTTTCCTGGGAATCCTAAATATAAATATATTTTAAATTTTTGTAGAGGAAAAATAAATCACCCTCTCACTTCTTATCCAAGACATTAAAACCTTATTTACACAAAAATTTTAAAGTGGTTTATAGAACTCACCCAACGATTTGGTAAATATCTTCAGATTTTCCTTGGCGTAATTTCAGTATCCAAGCACCTGGATTTGCTTTTAATTGAAAATATCCCTTTTAGGATGAGAAAAATATGATCACAGTTATAGGACTAAAAGTCTCCAATTGTTCAAAAAAGATTATACATGAATCATTCAGGAAAGTGTTTACTAAACTGGAGTGGATGAATTCTATAAATGAATTACAAAAAGGAGATTTTGCAATAGCCTGAATAATACATCCTGAAAGTATGATTCCCTTCATTTTTGTTTTACTTAATTACCTTATTTAAGGATCAATTTTGTTTTCTGGGAGCTTTTCAGCAATAGCAGGATAAAATCTATTTCATCTTGTTATCAGGAAAACTTCGAGGATTTCCCCCAAACATGTAATTACATACAATCGATTAAGTACTGATAATACTTACGAGATTGGCCATCACTATTGTATCAACCACAACAGGTTTACTTTTTGTGCCTAGTGTGAACTGCAGACCCCGAGGAGGCTGTTCTGTCACTGTATCGAAGCAGTGTCCTTCAAGTAGTAGATATTCCAGCTCATATTCTGCGGTGACAGTTCTCTCAATCTATGGGGGAAAACAGGTCATTACTTCTGGTGTTTAGTAATTCTCATAAAATAAATTTTGTAATAAATAAACGTAATTAATATCAGTCAATATATTGTAGGGGCAACTTCAAGCCTTTCAAACTAGTGACTTAATGGTTGAGGAAATTTCTTCAAGACCAAAACTCATGATGAGTTTTTTTCTCCTTTCCCATGACATCAGCTCTACTCCAACTTCATGATATATGCACCAATATCACAGTCAGGAAAGATGTCATCAAGTTGGAGTATTTGCAGATCTCTTCAAGAGAGAGTGAGATGGGAAACTCAAGGAATCTGCTTCATTGGCTGTTGCCCTTGAGCTCCTCCAGATCTGGCAAGAAAACCAACTTATCACCTTTCTTGTAATATAAAAAGTTAATATTTCATTGTTTTGCACTCAAAATAAAATATGCTCATCAAAAAATTGAGCAAATATAAAAATGTGGAAAAAAGAAAAAAAAACAGAAATTACCTACAGATTTAACATTCATTACACATAACACATTTCTTTTTCTTTTCTGTAATTTTTTTTCTAAGAAAATGTAACCAGCTGTTTCATTAAATAGTTTTCTATGAACACGTCCCTGTCTCTACAAATCTCTTTTTAAAGAGCTAAGACTTTTGGGCACCTGGGTGGCGCAGTTGGTTAAGCATCCGACTTCGGCTCAGGTCATGATCTCACGGTTTGTGAGTTCGGGCCCGATGTCGGGCTCTGTGCTGACAGCTCAGGGCCTGGAGCCTGCTTCGGATTCTGTGTCTCCCTCTCTCTCTGCCCCTCCCCTGCTCATGCTCTGTCTCTGTCTCAAAAATAAATAAAACATTGAAAAAATTAAAAAAAAAAAAGATCTAAGACTTTTTCCAGATTTCCCTCTACTGCAAATGTATTTTAGGGATAACACTTTTTCTCTACTTGATATGAAAAACATAAGCAAACATGAGGCTGAATCAAATGGTATAAGTGACTTTTACATGGTTTGGTAATTTTGTTGAGCAGATGAAACAGTGATGCTCACTATACGGTATCATTTTATTTCGCTGTGAGTTTTTGACACTATTTTTTGGTGTGTTTAGGATATAAAGTATTTCAAAACATTCTCTATTGGATAGCTGCTTTTCCTCACAATCACCACAGAAAGAATGATAATACTTGTGTGCAGCATTTCTCTTCAAGTTCAGGTCTTAAGAACAAGAGATAAGTACTTTCTTTGACAACGGTGCTTGTTTCAACGTTAGCTGGGATCTGAATTACTTGAACTTCTACTAGTCTAGCAATGAGATTCACCTACATCACGCACGTGTGCCCCCAGTCCTGACAGCACCACGTGTGCAAGGAAACATTCACAGGAGACGGTCTCAGGAGGGGAGAAGAGTGAAGTCAAAACAAAATCACAGAACTTTACAGACGAGGAACTGTACCTCACAGTGGTCACGAAGCTGAAATATTTTTCTTTAGGAGTTACATATCAGGGCAAAGTCCAAGTACACATCAGTTTGAGACCAGTAATACTTTTATTTTATAATATATTAATGTGAAACTTTCTCTTGTCCCTATAGATTTGGATAACAGACATCAATTTTACGGACTTCCTCAAACTACAACACCAAAAACAGACAATCCATTTTTCAAAGAGTTGTTTCTAGTGAATATTATAAGTTCATT